CAGAGTATAAGCCGTCTGGCTCCAGATGGTCATGAGACAGGGATATGACCAGTCCTCTGGACCATGCAACACAGTCATCACCCAGGCTTCCCCTGAATGCTATAGGACAGATAGCAACAGAAAGCTCATAACCAGCTCTACACCCATCTATCAGCTCTGAAACAAATACAGAAGATGGGCTGTTATCCATGTTACCCCCATCAGATTTTGGGTTCCTTTTCTTGAGAGGGGAATGTTAAGATAGCTAGGGAGATTTGAGCCTAAGTGTATGTGAGGAGCTGAAAGAAAAATTTCCATGTGATGGAACAAGGAAGCAAGCCTTGGAAGCCAACCAGTATTTGCATATTAAAAGTCTTGCCGTAGTTCACTGACCTGGCTGGGTGGATTCCCACTCTCTCCTTAGGGGCATCCTATAGGAATTTCATGAGCCTTTTGCCCAGGAGACTATTACAAAGTTCTGGGAGAGATTCCACACCTAGAAAGCCCTCCACACAGCAATATTCCAGAAAGGGGGTAGGGGGAGGAGAAAGAAGGCCCATGCTCAACATCTATAGAAACGCCAGTCTGAATGCAGACTGGGCTCAGTTTTTTACTGAAGTGCCCACCTGGACTGTCAGGTGCACTTTCTTCATTAGTTCTCCCCATTAAACTTTGCTTGCATGCTTACCACCAAAAAAATTTGAAAAATAATTTAAAAAGTCATCCAATCATCCTAGCAACACTTTGGGTAGGTATTATTACAAGCTACATTTTTAGAGAAAACTGAACCTCAGGGAGTTTAAATAATGTAATTGCGTAGTTACTCAGCTGGTAAACGGAGGAGCTATGATCTGAACTCAGCCACAGCTTGGCACATAGAGATAATAGTTCCTATTGATTACTGCAACTGCTGTGACCACTGTTAGCAAGAAGAGATATAATAGGGCTGTTTTAAGAAACGTAATTTTATATTTAAGTAAATAACTATTTTACTGATTTATTGATTATATTAAAATAAAGTGTCATTCTCATAACCATGAAGGCGCATTCTTAGAGCCTCAGGCTGCTTGTAAAAGCCTCCGACATCTAAGCAGCATTAAGAGATCTCAGGGTCACTAATACTAAACTCAAGGGCAAGAATCTGGGCTGGGTGAAAAAGAATTCATAGGTTATAAAGTTTAACTAATAAGAGGGAAGGCAAGGAAACCAGTACTTACTAAGCACTTCTTAAAAGGCTAGGCACGGTTCTACATGTTTTTACCTATTATTTCATGTAATCCGTAAGTATTATCACCAGTTTAAAGATGAAGCACATTAAAACTGCAATGAGACACCATTGTGTACCTATTACAATGGCCCAAATCCAAAACAAAGGTAACATTAAATGCTGGTTTAGAGCAACAAGAAATCTTATGCATTGCTGGTGAGAATGCAAAATGATAAGGCCACTGTGGAAGACAGTTATCAATTTCTTACAAAACTAAACGCACTCTTACCATACAACCCATCAATGGAGTTCCTCAACATTAAATTCCTCAAATGATTTTAAAACTTATGTCCACAGTAAAACCTGCACATTGACATTTATAACAGCTTTATTCACATTTGCTAAAACTTGGAAGCAACTAAGAGGTCTATTGGTGGATGCATGGATGAATAAACTGGTACATCCAGACAATGGACAACCACTCAGTGCTAAAAGAGAAATGAGCTATCCAGCCATGAAAAAGACATGGAAGAAATGTAAGTGCATACCCCTAAGGGAAACAAGTCAGTCTGAACAGGCTGCACACTGTATGAGTCCAGCTATCTGACGTTTAGAAAAAGCCAAACCAGGCAGACAGTAAAATGATGAACAGCATGGAGGGATGAACAGGAAGGGCCCACAGGATTTTTAGGGCAGGGAAATTATTCTGCATGAGGGTATAACAGGAGACATAGTCCATGACACATTCACCCAGACACAAAGAGTGTGTAACACCAACTGCAAAACCTATTGTAACTCCGGATGGTGGGGGACTCTGATGTGTTACCATAGATCCATCAGTTCTAACAAATGTGCCTTCTGGTGCCTGATGTTGATGAAGGAGGAAGCTATGCATGGGAGGGAGCAGGGGAAATATGAACAATCTCTGTGTCTTCTGTTCAACTTTGCTATGACCCTAAAGCTGCTCTATGAAATAAAGTCCGTTTTTGAAAAAGCATACCCTTCAAAAAATTCATATATGAAACCACATAAATTAGAGTAATCACTATATCAAAATCCTTCTAACCAAGGTAATTATCAAGCATCTTTCTGTTTTCCAGGGTTGGCAAGAATTCTAAATATCCCTTAAGTATGTGACTAAATTAGAATTTATTATTAGTTAAAATTAGAATTATTAAACTTTATAACCTCCTTTTTCATTTTGAGTGGCTAGTGTTGAGGCATAGCAGGTAAAACTGCCCCCTGCAATGCTGGCTTCCCATATGGGTGCTAGTTCTAATCCCAGCTGCTCCACTTCTGATCCAGCTCCCTGCTAATGTGCCTGTAAAAAGTAGAAGATGACCGGAGTGTTTGGTCCCCTGCACCCAACTGAGAGACCTGGAAGACGCTCATGGCTCCTGGCTTCAGCCTGGTCCAGCTGTGGCTGTTTCAGCCATGTGGGAGTGAACTAGTACATGGAAGATCTCTATCTTTCTCTATAACTCTGCCTTTCAAATAAAGAACTTTTTAAAAGATTTTATTTATTGTTTATTTGAGAGGTAGAGTTACAGAGAGAGGGAGAAACAGAGAGAAAGGTCTTCCATCCACTGGTTCACTCCCCAAATGGCTGCAACAGCCAGAGCTGAGCTGATCAGGAGCCAGATGCCTCTTCCTGGTCTCCCACACAGGTGCAAGAGCCCAAGCACTTGGGCCATCTTCTACTGCTTTCCCAGATCATAGCATAGAACTGGATTGGAAGAGAAGCAGCCTGTACTAGAACGGGCACCTATATGGGATACAGTGCCACAGCACTGACCCCAATAAATAGCTTTTTATTTTTTAAATTTTTTTAATAAATAGCTTTTTTAAAAAAAAGAATGTTCATTTTGAATTTTCTGAATTTTTATATGATTTTTTTTTCTTTTTATTTTGCCCCCCCCCCACCCGTTTTTTAACTGCCAAGGATTCTAGTAGATGATTACTGCCATTGTCCTGGGGCAGGAAGACAAAATTTGTATCTTAAAAAATAAATTAAACTTGCTATAGCTGCTTTTCTGTTTTTTATTCTTGAGGAAATTGTGCTGTGCTATGCTTGGGAAGCCTCTATGATGAGCCTTGTCTTTGGAGACAGAACATCTCTATGTTAATTTGAATAAGGCTGGGATTTAAAAGAGTTAAACTACTCTGTAAGATAGAAGTTTTTAGTGTATTCTTTGAAGCACTGGATACAGGGTTTTGGTTTGTGAACTCAAGAATGAAGAGTAATAAAAGAGAATTCCTTTAAGGGGATAGCAGCTCTGGGGACACTGTAGCAGTCAGGACTACGGGGCGGAGGGGGGGTGCAGAGAGGGGGGGGGAGGGAGGGAGGGACAAACTATAATGGGCCCACTTCTGATGGGGAGGACCAAAAACTTTGGAAACAGTTGTCCAACCATTTTATGATTGACTCTCATCCTGAGCATCTGCTCCCCTTTGGTTGCCAGAATGATCAGTAAGACACTATTGCACTGGATGACAGTGCTTTGAGTAACAAGCATGTGAAGGCGGGGGGGGGGGGCATAGGGACCAAAGTGAGATGGGGAGGAGCTGGCAGCAGTCAAGGGAAGATGACAACAGCAGAGGCGTCTTTGACAGAGTGTGGCAATGTGGGGGCAAGGGCTCACGGGGACTGGGTACAAACCAACAAACTGCAAGCAGGGTTGCATATGACTGGAGGCATCTGCACTTGGGCTTCTGCTCCATGCGACCTCCCCAAAGAGGTTTCTGATTGCTTCGCTGGTTCAACACAGTGAAAACATATAGGAATCCACTGTCCTGAATGATTCTCTTTGGAGCACGTACAACATTGTTCATTAGTCTTCTAGAGACAAGACTGTCTTACCACTGCTATGTCTCTAGCATCTGTGATAGGGCCTGGTGCACAGCAGGTAGTCAACTGGTGTTAGTTAAGAGGTTGATAAACCACCTAAGTCCTCATTTTCCAAGTTGGAAATAAAAACCAATTTCTCCTGGCCTCCTATTTCCCCCAGCTGTCAGTCTCTCCAGTTTGGGTAAGATCAATAATTCTCCTGTACATGTAGACCAAGAGGCTCCTCCCCATCATTCACCACTAAAATTCCTTTCATTAATTGTACAGTTTTGAGCATGGGATTGGGACAATCAGAAATGTTGTAATAAATGTCTCAGCTATTTGAGTTGAGGGTTTGCAAGGAGAAACCTGTTACCCTAGATGACAGGGATGGGAGGAATGTGTGGCTTCAGATGACAAGCACTGATCAGCTGTGCCTCAGTCTGGGTAATGAGCTCTACGGAACCTGCAAACACATCAACTCCCAACGCCCGCTACCCTTTGTGCCTTTAGCCACAGGTCAACTCAGATTCCTTCGCTGACACCAGACCCCCTCTTCTAGGATAATTATTTCTCTTTTGCGCTGTCAGATTTTTTTTGTTTTGTCTTACTGACATTAGCATCAATCTAACACAATTCCATACCATCACGCTTCTCCCAATCCCAATAAAACATTTTAGAATATTAAAAAAAAAAGTGTCTATGTCAGTGATATAGAAGGAAGAAAAGAAGATCAAACAATAGAAAATAGTCATTTTCAAAACTGCCCACAGGTGTTCCCTCCTTTTATATAGTCAGTATTATGAGAGGAAGTGGAAATCTTTGATTTGATGCTTTTTACTCGGGAAACATGGTAGTTTCAACAAAAGACTTTTGGATCAAAGGATTGGATATGATGACCATGACTCAGTCCCAGCACCTGCCTAATCACCATAACTCACCAGGTAGCAGGCACCAAGATGTCGTTCAATGCCCCTCTTGCATTACCTGGTTTTCTTGTTGGTCCCACTGGCAAATCTGCAGGACCTGACCCAATTCTTGCCATTGCTGCTTCAGGTACTTGTCTAGTTGCCTTCTCCTGTCTTGTAGAAGTTCAAGAAGGCTGTCAATCTTCAGACAGCTGCTATGAGCTCCTTGAATTAATTCAGGATTCATATTAGGCCCATCACATTTGAATTTTTCTATGAAGTCCGTGAGTTGTTGACTTTTGTTTAGAAGCGCTAGAGATTTTTCTAGAAGTTCTAAAAGAAATTAGAAAGAAAAAAGAAGAATGATATGAGCAAGCTACTACTAATAGTTGTACTCTTAATATAATGTAAATGTAACTTATATGAACACATAATAAGGTGCACTGCAAGGAATTTAAATGCATAAACATAAACTACCTTCACTACTTGAAATATGTTGGTCAAACATCTTGGCATAACAACGGTTATGGCACTAGCTGCCAAAGAGTAGAATGCGGAAGTTTAGTGGTAGCATGATTGAGTATAGGGAGCAGAATGACTGTGGGAGTCTGGCATGGCTTCTCTCGGTTTTACAGGTGGGAGACTGGTTACAGCGCTTACGCACCCTGCAGTGTCCTGCATCTGAAGGTGATTGGACTCAAGGTTTAGAGGGTAAAGCCTGTACTAATCACCCCAAAAACTCAACAAATGAGGTGGCCAGGTAGCCGGATGTCGGAACAACGTCTAGTTAGAAAATGCTTACTCGGTGGAATAGCTCTAACCTCATTCTTCACCCAGTTCTGACCAACTGCTGACATGAAGGACTATGAGTCCAGAGTTGATGAGGCCCCCACGTATTAAAAGAGTTCTAAATACATTGAGCACAGAGGTATGATAAATGTTTGAGGAGATGGATGTGTTTCCCCCGATTTAATCATACAATGTATATACACACTGAAACATCACACAGTGCCCCCTAAATATGTACAATTTCTATCAGTCTTGAAAGTCCTAAATACAGATTTAATGATAAAGCTTTTGATTTGCAAGTGCTTTACAATTTGTATTTTTAATTTAAAAATATAACAGAATAACAAAGCATACTTAACTGCAAAATAGGCCACCAGTTTCTACTCCTGGAGTAAAGGGTATTACAAGTTTAGGGAAAATGTTCTGGAATGAGTATTTTAAGTCCAAATATGGAGAGACCAGCAAGAGAGTAAGGATGGAAGGGAAGTAGTTGAGAACAGCAGGCTGAGGAGCACCCACACTTCGGGATCAATTGGAGGGGCATTTAGGGACTGTTCATCTCCACAGCCAAGCATGGAAACCGGGAGCCATCATCCTCTTTCTCATCCTGCCATAATCAAGACCTGTTACTTTTGTCCTTTGTCTACTTCTCTCCATGTCCACTGCGGAAACACCTGCTACTCGGTTTGTGCTGCCTTCTCTTGACTACATCATCCTCTGATACAGTCATCCATTCTCAAAACCTTAGACAAAGGGATCTTTTCTCAGCCTCTCTTTCTCTGCCTGCCTCTCCCTCTCCCCCCCTTCCCCCTCCCTCTCTCTCTCTCCCTCTCTCTCTCTCTCTCTCTCTCTCTCTCACACACACACACACACTTAAAACAATGGCTTCGCATTAACTTAAAAATCCCTTAACATGAACTACCAGGTTTGGCATGATCTAGTCTCTAGCTCCCTTTTTAGATGGTCTCTACCTTTCATCCCTACCTTCTCACACATGCTACACTGCCCCTGTCCCTTGAGTTTTCATTGCTTCTTCTGCCAGGACACCATTCACCACTCTCCTCAACTCCCTCTTTCCTTATCTTCATTCTGCTCATACTTCAGGTTATCAACTCAATGTCAGTCTCAGGAAATAAACTAGACTGGACCAATCTTCATTCTTATAACACAGGTTTTCTCTCATTCAAACATCTTGCCAGTCATAACTTTACATTGATGTGAGGAGTTATCTAATATCTGTCTTTGCCACAAGGCTCCCATACAGTAAGAGGGTAAGGACCATGAACACATCCTCCGTAATCAGAGTGGCTGGCATGGTGCAGATGTTTCATAATTTCCGTAGAATGCCACAGTGAGCACACATATAATTAAAGCAGATGAAGAATTAAGAGAGCTAGAGATGCTATGGATCAGAAGTCTTCTAGAAACATCACAAACAGGAAGCAATTGAAATGATTTGGGATTTTGTGACGGAGTAGGTAATGGAAACAGGAAATCAAGTTACCAGGTTGAGAAGTGGGGAGAGAGTGATCAAGTGAAGATGATAAGTCAAGACAATCTTGGGACTTTTGTTGTTAGAAAAAAAAAAGAAAGAAAGAAAACACTAGCAGTGTGTCTTAAGAGCAGGGTTGAATATGCTCCTTTTTTATTTTTAGTATGAAAAGTAAAGAACACCCAGAGGACAAGTACTTTAACAAACTTCACAGCAATACCAATGGACTAAACCAGTGCTAAAACCTGCCTTGAGGTTCTCAGCTCGTTCTTTTCACTCTACAGTGGCTACTTCAGCACTGTCACATCTGGCAGTTAACTACACAGTGCGGATCAGTCAGTCTCATCCAACTGACACTTTTTTTGAGAGCTGGAAAAGAAAATGAGATATGTGAATACACTGTAAAAAGGTTATTTTGAGATGAAAAAAAGGAATTTGAAGTACTATCTGTCCAGTGAAATATTAGCAGCATCTGGTCAGAGTGCAGAGAACATAAATATGTGCACAATGCAATTTTCTGAGGCCTTAATAAGGTAAAGAAACAAAGAATTAAACCCATGGACTTCATCCTGGACAGGAGGAGGGGGGAATTCAAACAGGATAAGGAAAGTTAGAGCAGACATTAAAATTACAGTACATTTCTTGAGCAAAGAAATGGAAGCAAACAAGGGCAAGACAAAGGCAAGGGAGAGAGTGTAGAAAAAGATGTGTGTGTCTACTCTTAGAGGAAAGTCAAAGATACAACAGAGAAACAAGGTCAAGACAATTTACAGAGGTTGTTGTCCATCAAACTGAAGTTTTTATTGTATAACCTCAATAGAGTGATTGGAGTGACTGACTCTCCTTTAATATATACAGAAAGAGAATTTTTCCCTTGAATTGAGAAGATGTTAATATTAATACTACGCAAACACACACACACGGGAAGTATGAGCTGGAAGCAGGGTTTCCGCATGGTACGTCTTTCCTCCCTTCCCATAAACAGCTCTTACATATTCAATTTTTAAATGAAAGGAGGAAACATAAGTTTGGTTCTGAGAGTAGTGCAGACTGACAGAGGAGCAGGCCAACCTGTTCTGGCTCCACAGAATATGTATAGTTCCCCAAATTTCAATTTGCATTCTTTTCCTGGTTTCCTGTTTTAGTTTTAGCCAAAATAGTACAACCATTCCCATATGCATCCAGCTGTGCAGCCTCTTGAGCCCAAGTTAGCTTACAATGTGCTCAGGCTGCAATCTGCTACCTTCTACCATGAGGAAGGTAGATAGATCCCTCCGCCAGGTCCCTTGGGCTCCCTCTGTCGGTTTCTTCCATCGTATTTGTTCTAGAGCTTCTATTTCCCTAGCTATTTACTCCATCTGTCGATCATACAAAGTGATGTAGTTTTCCTCATGAGCAACATTTAGCTATATGATGACCTTCAAATATAAAAGTCTCTACAGTGCGTTCATTTTAAATACTGTGCATTTCTGCATATTCAAAACTCTACTTATTGATACAATATCTTGTGACGGTACATAGATACTCAATAACATTATTATTTGCTTTGATCAACTCCCACTATATATTTAAAAATGGTGGCAAAGCACATTTTAAATTATTACCTATAGAGGCTGGCACCGCGGCTCACTAGGCTAATCCTCCACCTTGCGGCACCAGCACACTGGGTTCTAGTCCCGGTCAGGGCGTCGGATTATGTCCTGGTTGCCCCTCTTCCAGGCCAGCTCTCTGCTGTGGCCAGGGAGTGCAGTGGAGGATGGCCCAAGTGCTTGGGCCCTGCACCGCATGGGAGACCAGGATAAGTACCTGGCTCCTGCCATCGGATCAGTGAGGTGCACCAGCCACAGCACGCTGGCTGCGGCGGCCATTGTAGGGTGAACCAACGGCAAAGGAAGACCTTTTTCTCTGTCTCTCTCTCACTGTCCACTCTGCCTGTCAAAAAAATTAAAAAATAAAAAAATAAGATAAAATAAATAAAAATTATTACCTATAGAATATGCCATAATTATTAAGTATAATTAACCAATTTCAGATAGATGATGATGGATTTTCAGAAGTTAAGTGGGTTTTCAGCTCATTAAATATTGTTTCCAAATAAGTTCTTTCTAAAAAGTTTCAAAGTTAAAGTCTTGGTGCTGAGATCATGGATGATATTTCTAAGATATTTTTAAATTTCAAATGTTCTTCAGTGGGATGGTTTTTCTTAAACTTATTTAATGGGCATTTCCAAAAATATACAGATGTAGAGATAAGGTCTAATGGACCCCATAAACCTCTATCTAAGCTATGTGAAAATCAATTTATAACATCTAAGAAAAAGGAACTCATATTATGACTTCCTGTGATACAGCTTCTTGGATATTGTGATCCTTTTAAAATGGCCACTAAAAAACTGTAGGGTGAAATTCTTATCCTTGTGTAGTAGCATTCGTGTACCAAGACAAGACACCAAGGCCTCTTAACAGGAAGCAGCCTTCATTATGCCAGCATAAGACCCAGGTAGAATTTCTTACCCAAAATCCTGAGTCCCAAATAAGGAAGGGTTTTCTGTTATATATGGTTTTAGCCTCTTTGTCTCCCTCATATGGTTACCTGCATACATTTGATTGGATATTCTGATGTTACATGGCAGCCACAGGATTGATACATGACTGTGCAGGAGAAAGTAGTACTGAAGATTTTTTTTTAAACACATACTGAGCTGTAAGCTGTCTGGCAAGGGTTAACACCATTGCTCTTTAGTAACAAGCAGAACCTGAAATGGTTACATAGAGGTTGCATATAGTCCCCATAGAAGATAGGGACTATGGTGGAAGCATTCATAGGCAAGCCTGTAACAACCGCATTTCATTCCCAGGACAGATGCCTCCTTGCTTCTTCTTCTTCTGACCTTGGGAAGGCCTCTACCACAACTTTAATCACGTCAGGCAGAAACAAGTTTAATTAAAAGACAGAGGCCTCTGCCACGGTTGAGTTTAGAATAAATTTTCTCTTCTTTAACGTCCCTACAGGATCTAGTTTATTGATCATTTTTGCATCTTGTACCATGTCTTCCATTGGGATTAAATACAAAACACACTCAACAACCATTCTTTGAAGTGGGCACTATTCTAATCCCAGAGATTGAGAGATGCACTAATTCCTCCTAGCCAGGGATTCACAATCTGGTGATTGGGGATTTAAAAAGGAAGTAAATTATCACTACACAGTGTGCTGGGTGGTGTCTCAGAGGAACCCGCAGGACGCACAGAGGGAAACCTATGACAAGTGTATACCTGCCCTGCTAAACTGTAGACTTTCTACGGACAAGGACCATGTACTCCCCTTGACACATGGCCAAGGGTTTCTCACCAAGTATGAGTTCAGAAAATATTGTTTAGTTATGTGTTGTTTAATTGAGGTCAACCAAGCTGGTTTATAGTCTGAAATCATCTTTACTAGAAAAGACTTTAAGCAGGCATGTATAACCCAAAGGGGAGGAGACCAGAGAGGACGTCAGTGTCAGCAATTTCAAGGATTCTCTTGCGGGCAATAGACTTGTTCTGTAACATTCCAGAGGGCAGAAACTTCAACCCATTCATCCTGGTTCTGACCTCCACAATTTTATAGAATAAGTTTCTTCTTTGCATCATGCCTCAGCATTGCTGAATCAGGAGAAAGCATAGGTGAAGCTAATGAAACTAAAGTGAACATTGGGGCGAGTGTGATTACAGCTTCTCCAGTTACCTTTATCAGCTTGTGACATCCTAACCCACCCATTTTGTACTCTTCACTGATCAATACCTACCTCAGAAACGCGGTAGAACCACTAGCTGCACCAACAGATGTGTTTGATTTCCTTAAATCTTAAGATAATAGACTCGAAACCCTTTCTTAAATACCAGGATTTCATTTTTAGCATGCATTTCCAATCAGCTAATCTCAGTCACATCCTCCTGAATTCGTGGGTTAACACGTTTCATCAGCTACCCACTAGATGAAAGCAGAGCCCCTGAAGCCACCGTCGAGCAGGTGTGTCAGAAGCCTGGTGTCCTGACCAGGGTCCCTTGCAATCCTTGTGCATCAATTCTCATATAGAGGGGCACAAACATTGCAAGAGAGACATGCTACCAGAGCAGAGAGATTTTTCTCATCACAAAAATAGACTCTGCTTCCTGTTTTCAGCTGGCATTTGTATTCATTTCTTCAGACTAAGAAGAGGCCCATTGGTCTCTGGAATACTGTATTCCAGAAAAGCAAGCCAATGGGGCCATTGTCAGCTGGGCACCAGACCAGCGCCGCCCAATGCTGCTACACAAAGCATCATGCTCTCCCACAAAGTGGCTCCCTGCGCCCCAGGTCCCAGTAACTCTGAAGGAGCCAACAACAGCAACAACAAAACAGCACTGAGCTACCCAACCACTTTGAGCTCCAAGTCCAAATATTTGTGGAAACGTCTCTGCTTCCACAAGCTGCCAATCCCCCTGGAAAAATGCTTTCATGTGATTGCCTTGGTAATGAACCTCTGCAATGCAAGCTTCAGTCACTGTGAAGTTTCCAGACCTAAAATCGCTGGGTGATGATCATGCGGCTTGGATAAAGACTGAATTGAGATCACAGGACTCATCTCAGCTACCTGCACTTAGGATTTCATGGGATTCTGCTAACTCCCTCGGGCGCCCTCAGCAGCTGCTGCGGCTGCATAAAATTGGGCAGCTGGTGCTTTCACACCAAATCTTTGGATGCTGTTTATAATCTTTGTTAGTGGTAGGTCCTATCAATTAAGATAATATGCACATGAGTGTGAGTGTGTGTGTGTGTGTGTGAGTGAGTGATAGGCTCTCATAAAAAGACACCTTGGGAAAAATCAAGTCCTTGGATCTCTGAGCTTTGGGAAAGTTGTAATAAGTAGTGAATCACAGTTATCTATTATCTAGGACCCTTCAGATGGTGTTATAAACACAGAATCAGGGTTCGGGAGCTAGACATTAAGTCAGAACTGAGACAAATGAATTCAGGAAGTTCTTCCACTCGTACCCAGTTCTACTTGCCGGTAAAGACACATTACAAATAAAAGAAGTGGGGCTGGCGCTGTGGCTCAGCGGGTTAAAGCCCTGGCCTGAAGCACCGGCATCCCACATGGGCACTGGTTTGAGTCCTGGCTGCTGCACTTCTGATCCAGCTCTCTGCTGTGGCCTGGGAAAGCAGGGGAAGATGACCCAAGTCCTTGGGCCTCTGCACCCGTGTGGGAGACATGGAAGAAGCTCCTGGCTCCTGGCTTCAGATAGGCACAGCTCCAGCCATTGCGGCCATCTGGGGAGTAAACCAGTGGACGGAGGGCCTCTTTCTCTGTCTCTACCTCTCTGTAGCTCTGTCTTTCAAGTAAACAAATAAATCTTAAAATAAATAAATAAATAAAAGAAGTGATTGTTCCCAACTATGTATCTACTCTCCATCCGCAGAAGCAAATGACACACACACGACCCTTCCACCAATGCTTTCCCTACTCCAGAGCTGGCCTGCCCCAAATTCTGAGGGAGAAAAGCACAGCACACAAACGGCTACTTAGCAATCGTCCTGTCTACAGATTTTCAGAAGAGTTGAATTTTTTTGTACAGTGCTTCCTCAGAAATCGGTCTGGGAAAATTCCTGATTCCTTATTCCAGAACCGTAATGATAAAAGAGGAAGTTTTCTTTTCATTCATATCATTCAGAGGCTGCTGTTCGTTTGTTGACCCTTAGAAGATTTCACTGAATTCGACCATAGACACTCAGCCGACAGAGATTTCCTGAGGATCTGCCCCGTGCTGGGCACCATGCTAATCGCTGGAGATGAAAGGGCGGACAAGGCGGAAGTGGGCTCTTCCTCAGACAAGCCAGTTCCGTCTCCCGTCTTAGATCTCCGAAGACTGCGTGATTGACAGCCCTGGGTTAAGTCTCCTGGAGACTCCCCCACCATCTCCCTAGAATGACGTGCAGCTATTTCCTTCTCTGAGGAGATGGTCAAAAATAAAGCTTGGCCATTGGAGGGTGAACCAACGGCAAAGGAAGGCCTTTCTCTCTGTCTCTCTCTCTCACTGTCCACTCTGCCTGTCAAAAAAAAAAAAAAGCGCTTTATCTAGTCTTCCTTGGAACAAGCTGACGTACATAAAGTAAAAATATACTGCCATACGGAAGCAGATTTTAAACTTTAACATTTCATGTGAGGAATGAACTTACCTTTAGAGTGATGCTCATGAAGCCGAAGAAGTGACTTTAAGGACTCGGCACTCTCAAATTCATGAGTATTCTGGAGGAAGTCTTCAGCTTGATCTATTTTAATAGCGAACTACAACAGAAACACAGGAGAAAAACATTTACAAATTAATGTGTCATTTTCTATTCATATATATATGTAAATCGATCAATGGCCTACGGGACTTGTGTGTGTGTGTGTGTGTATCTATTACTTCACATGTGTATTGCTGTGGAGGGTATATGTGAGTGCATGTGTTTGCATCTGGTCAATTTACAAAGAGTTACACTTCTTTCCTTGTATTTCTTTCATTGCTAGATCATGTATGCTGCAATAAATCAATTTGTTTACTGTTCAAATGTCTATTATTTGCTTTAACCAGGAGCTGGCATTCTGGTACAACAGGTTAAGCCACCAAGTATGATGCCAGCATCCCATATGGGTACTGGCTTGTGTCCCAGTTGCTCCACTTCCAATCCAGCTCCCTTCTAATGTGCTTCAGTAAGCAGCAGAAGCTGGCCCAACTGCTTGAGCCCCTGACACCCCTGTGGAAGACATGGACGGAGTTCCCCGCTCCTGGCTTCAGCCTAGCCCAGCTCTGGCCATTGTGGCCATTAGGAAAATGAATCTCTAGATGGAAGATACCTGTCTCTTTCTCAGTCTTTCCCTTTCTCTCTTTGTAACTCCAATTTTCAAATAAATAATAAATAAATCTTTTTTAAAAATTAATGTTTCAACCAGAATTATCGTGCCCTATAATGAATGTCATCACTTTCAGTGGTTCCAAAACAGTTTCTGAAAGAATGAACAGCAAGTTTACACTAACAGAAACCAAGTGGTTGGCTAATCAACAATCTGTGAGTTGGACTTAGGAACTCAGAAGGTTGAAAGACTCTTTTTCCCACATAATTAAACTTACAAAGGAAAAGTGAAAGTTTCAGAATACACGAAGCAAAAATTATATATATTTATAGAGCAAGTGGTTTGAGAAGATACACACCCAATGGGTGCCTTTATGAGAAGAAACAGAATTAGAGATGTTTGAGCAGACATGAACTTTCAGCTTTTGAAGATATAATGTGCATTATTTATATAATTTATATTATAAATATTTACATAAATAAAAATGAGACTAGATACAGAATGAAAAAACTCTCATCTGGTTCAATGAAAATGCCAAACAAAATGATACCCCAAGGGGTGAGAAATAGGATTGGTTTCTCTTTTTTCTCCATGAAGAAAGTATGAAAGGGAGAAATATGCTTGAAGTGATATTAAAATCTCCAGGGAGATCATCTCAGATACAAGTTTTGGAAATGAAAAAAATATAGCTGGTTATCCTTAGTAGGAGACAAATAACTGGTTTATTTTACCTCTAAGATTCAACGGTAATTGTTATAGTTTTAAGCAGCATTTTAATCAATATGTTCACCATGGGATTAGTTTAATCAGTGAGAAAGACATAGAAGCCTACCACAGTGCTTGTCCACATTTTCAAGGTTTCTTTCAACTATTATCTTTGAAATTGGTGTTTTCTTTAATATCTTAATTAACTATTTGAATAACAAGATACACTGCATTTTGATTATGAGGACAGCTGAATAACATTGAGTTATAAATGGTATGGAATGATGGGAGAGGAACTGGTGAGCATGTCCTCTTTTTTTATTTCTTTTTTTTTTTATTTAGTGAATATAAATTTGCAAAGTACAGTTTATGGATTACAATGGCTTTCCCCCCCATAATTTCCCTCCCACTCATACCCCTCCTGTCTCCCGCTCCCTCTCCCATTCCATTCACATCAAGATTCATTTTCAATTCTCTTTATATACAGAAGATCAATTTAGTATATATTAAGCAAAGATTTCATCTTTTGAAATGCAAAGAAGGCTTCTGCCATGCTGTTAGGATAGCCTGATGGACATGAGCCTTTCTAACTTGGGGCTGGGTTCCTCAATTGCAGCGGTTGAGCGGAGAATGGCCTACCCAGTGGTTAAGTCTGTGAGCCTGAAATCATCCTGTAATCACTGTCAAGCATGAAACAGTAAGACATTTTGTACTTCTAAAGAACTCCCGCACGCACACAGTTCAGTGAGGGGATTACATCCACACATCATTAACACGTCTCACTCTTTCAGCGTCTAACAACTGATTTGAAGGATATTCTTTGAAGAGGATCTTCAAAGAGACAAAAAGAATAAAGAAAAAGGAAAACAACCCACCACTAGCAGATGACTTGTTTTTTTTTTTTCCCTGCGGAACAGTACAAAAAGTTTCGGAGCCATCATTATATCTATATTTCACATTTGTATATAAACTTTAAAAAAATCAACAAGCACATAATTCTATACTCAGGAAAGCTTCCCTAATGCTGTTAGCTTTTATCCTATTAGGATTTTCTCTTCCCTGTCTAAAAGTTTACATCTTTATTGTTTCTGCAGCTTATACAAGGTATCAACAAGGAGCACTTTTCAAAGCTGTTCTTATTAATTTCGCCCTCTTCTTTTTTATCACTAATGAAAAATTGCTTTGGCTTACAAAGCAGTGGAAGATTCTATAGGCGTTTGCCTGCAGCTTAGTATGGAGTGGCCCAAGACTGGAGCAGGAGAACACCAGGAGCAATGAGTCTTCCCACTAGATCCAATAAAAGCTCATTCCAGCGTAAGAGCAGGAGCCCCAAGCAGCACTGTGCTTCAGCTCAGTGTTTCCCTCTGTTTCTGGAAGCAATTTATTCATCATGGAGCAAAGAGTTAGCATTCACACTGTAAGATGGTGAGAAACAAATGGTGAGCTTAGCAGTAGGAAAAAGTTAATTCCCTGTGCTCAAAGGGGCTGTTTCAGGGGTAGTTAACACCCATGCCCCACTGACTAAGATGGAATGAATCCAAATGTACCTATGATTTGGCCTCTGTAAATGTATTTCAGCTGGTTTATTCCTTTTCAGGAAAGATTATGTGTGGGACTTTCCCCCAAGACGGTCTGTAAACTGAATTATGAGTTTGGCTGTAGTGTCCCAATTTTCTAAAGCAAGCCAATTACAATAAGGCTTCTGCTCCTGTTTGCTTTTAAGTGAGTTCATAATGCATGAGATTGTCTACCCCCATTTTTATGTTCTATAACTAATCTTCTTTCCTTCATTATTTTGGATTTAGGTCTTGAATTTTGGGTTTACAAATGTCATATTTTTCAAAGCTTGTGCTTTATCATAATTAAGCAGTGCTTTCATATCAAAATGATCATGCTGCCACTTGACAGTGAAATTTCCAGTAACTGTCTTAACAAAACACAACACCTCTTCTCATGCTGCTCTTGGAGTCTCACATTGTGAAACTGGGAAATTAAAAAAAAAAAAGTAATAATAGCAGACTTAAAGAAAACTTATATAGAGAAATGACCTTTTAGGTCCAGGAATATTTCCTTCTTTTGTAGTTTAGTGAGTTCAAACTATGGAAAATCAGCTACATACCTTAGGAAAGTACTCCATAAAATTCTAGTTTGTAAGTCAAACACTCTACACAATATTCTTTATATTTTAAAATAAGCAAAAAAGAAATCACATCCTACAACTTTTAGCCAATGGGAACATTCTAAACAAGTATTTATAGGGGCTGGCGCTGTGGTGTAGCAGGTAAAGCCGCTGCCTGCAGCACTGGCATCCCATATGGGCACCGGTTCAAGTCCTGGCTCCTCCACTTCTGATCCAGATCTCTACTGGCCTGGGAAAGCAGCAGAAAATGGCTCAGGCCCTTGGGCCCCTGCACCCGTGTGGGAGAACCAGAAGAAGCTCCTGGCTCCTGGCTTCAGACTGCGGAGTGAACCAGCAGATGGAAGACCTCTCTCTCTCTCTCTCTCTCTCTCTCTCTCTCTCTGCCTCTCCTCTCTCTGTGTAACTCTGCCTTTCAAATAAATAAATAAATATTTTATAAAACAAGTATTTACAAACAATCCTATAATTAAGGTATTTGATTTAATAACTGCATTATGATCTTCTAAAGATAAAAAAATCATGATTTATGTTCTACAGTTCCTACTTTTACTTGCCATTTTAGCTAATTTTTATTAATTATATTTGATTTTTATTCTGTGACCTACATTTAAAAATATTAACAATTTTATTTTTTAACAATCAAAAAATTGAAGTGTATGTTTTGGTTATGGGGCCTTTTTCTGAACTTGCTGGACTTGTCTATTTGGTGCAAGAAAACATTGTCAGGAGCGCTATTCACTTGCCGTGGTGTGAGAAAGGGAGACTTTTTAAAAACACAAACCTCCAAGGCATTTTCAAAAAATTCCGAGGTCAGCATAAGGAGGTCCCGTCTTCTTTCAAGCATGGAGACCAGGCCTGCCCACGCTTCGCCCAGGGTCTGGGCCATGGCGTCGTAGACCTGACTCTGATCTTTGTTCTCTTCAGCTGTCTTGTCTGCTTCCTGCAAGAGTTCCCAGACTCGATCTTCCAAAGCCTAAGTTCAGGAGGGGAAAAAAAAAAAAAAGACAAAAGAGTATTACTGAATGTAAGAAGCCAGGATCCCATTTTATTTATTTTTAAAAGATTATTTATTTATTTATTTGAAAGGCAGTGTGAGAGAGAGACAGAGATCTCCCACCCACTGGCTCACAACCCGAATGACCACAACAGCCAGGAGCCAGGAGCCAGGAGCTCCATCTGGATGTCCCAAGTGGGTGGCAGAAACCCAAGTACTTCGGCCACCATCCATCCACTGCCTTCCCAAGCACATTAGCAGGAAGCTGGATTGGCAGTGAAGGAGCTTGGACTCAAAGCAGTGCTCCAGTATGGGATGCGAACAGCCCAAGTGGATGCTTAACCCACTGCAGCACAAAACTTGCTCCACCGAGGTCCCATTTTTAAACACTTGGATATTTGAAAATGTGTATGGCCTTCCAAGGTCTGGGAGAGAGCTATAAACACGAACTTCCAGGCAGATGGAGGGAGCCATGTGTATTGTGGCAAACTAGGGAGCAAACCAAGATAAAAGGATTCACATCTGAACATGATTCAGACACTGGATGGGTTTATCAAAGATTATCTCTACATTCCAGGGGCAAAGAACAGTGTGTTGATCTCACATCATAAGAAATAAGAAAACTAACTGGAACACATCCAGAAGAGTGATTTAGGAAAAAAAAGTGGAAAGAAATGAACCCAGTAAAATTTACTTTTTTCTAAGTAATTGCCATTAATTGTTAGAGTGCCTGTGAAACTTAATATAAATATTAAGAATCCTTATATAGACAATATTCATAATATAGAAATTTGAATACTTATAACCAATATTATATATCATTTGAAAATAATAAACAGGAGGCAGCATTGTAATACAGTGGGTAAAACCACCGTCTGCAATGCCAGCATCCCATGTAGGCCCCAGTTTTTGTGACCCAGCTGCCCTACTTCTGAACTAGCTCCCTGCTAATGTCCTGAGAAAGCAGCAGAAGATGGTCCAAGTGTTTGGGCCCCTGCACCCACACGGGAGACATGGATGAAGCTCGGGGCTCCTGGCTTTAGTCTGGCCTAACCCCAGCTGTTGCAGCCATTTGGAAGTGAACCAGCAGATGGAAGATCCTTCTCCCTCTCTTTGTAACTCTGAATTTCAAATAAATAACCTGAAAGACTCAAATTGGGTTCTTGGTTTCTGGCTTCAGCTTGGTTTAGTATTGGCTGTTCCATTTGGGAATTAACCAGTAGATAGAAGAGATCTCTCAGTGTCGGTCTGTCTGTCTCTGGTTTTCAAATAAATAAAAATAAAACACATCAACTAAAAGAGGACAATTTGAGGGTGTCCTTTTAAAAAATAAATTAGGAATGAATAATAAAAAGAATGGATAATACAATAAATCAATTAGAACACTTTAAAGAAAAATTCTAAGATTGAATATAGAATAAAACAAGAGACTGCTGAGAAAAAAATGAAATTACTACATTTAAAAATTTAAGGTATGCTCATATACATAAATTTTTTAAAACAAAATTTTTAAACAAATAAAAACTTTTTATTTTTAAAAATTTATTTATTTGAAAGTCAGGGTTAGAGAGAGAGAGGAGAGGCAGAGAGATCTTCCTTCTGCTGGTTCACTCCCCAAATGGGCACCACGGCCAGGGGTCAGGAGCTTCATCCAGATCTCCCACAACTTGGATGCAAGCACTTGGTTCATCTTCTGCTGCTTTTCCATTCACAGCAGCAGGGAGCTGGACTCAAAGCAGAGTAGCCAGGCCTGGAACTAGTGCCCACATGGGATGCCAGCACTGCAGACGGCAACTTAACCCGCTTAGCCACAGCGCCAGCCCCACAAACATGTTTTGTTTTAAGATTTATTTATTTATTTGGAAGGCAGAGTTACAGAGAGGCAGAGGCAGAGAGAAACAGAGAAGTCTTCATTCTGCTGGTTCACTCCCCAAATGGCCACAATGGCTAGAGCTGGGCTGATCTGAAGCCAGGAGCTTCTTCTGAGTCTCCCACGTAGGTGCAGGGGTGCAAGGACTTGGGCCATCTTTCACTGCTTTCCCAGACCACAGCAGAGAGCTGGATCAGACATGGAATGGCCAGGATGCAAACTGGCACCTGTATGGGATACTGGCACTGCAGGGGGCAGCTTTACCCACTAAGCCACAGTGCCAGCCCCTTTTAATTGTATTTTAGAAAAAAGTTTTAAAGCAGACTTATCTTTTATTTTTATTTTCCACAAACTTTTTGAAGTACCCTCATACAAAGCAAAATGCATACCATTAAATAATTTTGTATTAAAAAAAGAAAAAAAGAGGCCAGTGCCATGGCTCACTAGGCTAATCCTCCACCTGCAGCACCAGTACCCCGGGTTCTAGTCCCGGTTGGGGCACTGGATTCTGTCCCAGTTGCTCCTCTTCCAGTCCAGCTCTCTGCTGTGGCCCGGGAGGGCAGTGGAGGATGGCCCAAGTGCTTGGGCCCTGCACCTGCATGGGAGACCAGGAGGAAGTGCCTGGCTCCTGGCTTCGGATTGGCGCAGCGTGCCGGCCATAGCAGCCATATGGGGGGTGAACCAATGGAAGGAAGACCTTTCTCTCTGTCTCTCTAACTCTGCCTGCCCCAGAAAAAAAAAGAATTAAATATTCAAGTTTATGGGAAAATTATAAATTATAAAACAAAAATTGAGGGGATGAATTTATTAAATACAAAACCAGAAATTAGAAAATTTGAGGATAATCTCTGAAATGATTTTTTAAATATGAAAACATCTGACAGATGCTAATGAAAATGACAGAGTAGATAGTCCTAAGGGCCCATCCTTTAACAGTAACATAAAAAAAAAAAAAACACCGTCAACTTTGTCAGAACTCTGGAAGGTAACCAAAGGTTTACAGCAACCAAGTGAACACTGAGCATGAAACAGTAACTTAGAAACAACAGGAGAGCTTTGAGTTTTCCTTCCTTGCCTTTGCCTGCCTCTGCCTGGCTTCTACAGGGACTGTTAGATTGAATAAGAAAAATAAAACCCAACCACACATTGTCCACAGGACTTTCAATGCAAGGGCAGAGATAGAACGAAAGTCGACAGACAGGGACAGATGGTGAGGTGCTGAAACGTCAGTTCGCTTGATATCATCACATGTATCACCTCAATACATATATCTTAAATATAGACAAAGTTTATTTGTCAATCACACCTCAATGAAACTCAGGGGGGAATAGTTCATGAATGAAGATATATACCATGCTAAAACTAATCCAAACAGAGTAGCTATATTAATTCCAGGCAGAGCTAATTTCAGAGCAAGGAATATTATTTCCCATTACCTAATGATAAAAAGGCCAATTTTCGTGGAGACATAATAATCCTAAATGTATATGAGCTTAATGACAGGGTCAACACATGTGACGCAAAAACTTAAATAACTACAAGGAGAAATAGACAAGTTTACTTTAGTAGTTGTAGACTTCACACTGCTCTAGCAATTTTCAACATATCCAGACAGAAAATTATTAAAAATAAATGATTAACACCAATTAACTGGGCCTAATTGATGCTAATACTAATAATAAAAGAATATACAAAGAGAAGAAAAATATAAGGATTTTAAAATTCTAAGATAATTCATTCACATGACAAATAGTGTAGTACAAACTGAAAGTACGTGCCGGCGCTGTGGCATAGCAGGTAAAGCCACCGCCTGCAGTGCCGGCATCCCATATGGGCACCAGTTCGAGTCCTGGCTGCTCCACTTCTTATCCAGCTCTCTGCTATGGCCTGGGATAGCAGTAGAAGATGGGCCAAGTCCTTAGGCCCCTGCACCCACGTGGGAGACCTGGAAGAAGCTCCTGGCTCCGGATTGGCATAGCTCCGGCCATTGCGGCCAGTTGGGGAGTAAACCAGTGGATGGAAGACCTCTCTCTCTCTCTCTCTCTCTCTCTCTGCCTCGGTCTTGGTCTCGGTCTCGGTCTCTCCTTCTGTGTGTAACTCTTTCAAGTAAAATAAATAAATCTTTTTAAAAAAACTAAAACTAGAAGAATTTGATAATTCTATGGCACAGATGCAGGAGAGAATAAGGAATGATGGGAAATGAATTCATTCTTTGGAAAACAGGTAAACAAACTTCCAGTGACATTTCTGATATTTGATACAGAGGCAGTACGATAAATCTGAAAATTGACTATATCTGTATTGTCTTTGGGAGACCATTTCTACACAGAGCCCTCTAAACCTTATTAAACACATGTAAAATTGTTCTTCTAATACCATCCTTTCCCTACTGAGGTGACACTTTATAAATGAGTGATGTAGAATTTTTAGGGACAGACAGCTTGAAGAACTACAATTCCCACTTCCAATACTTCCTTGGGACTCTCTCATGACCTTCAATATGAACTATAAAATCTTCTATTCATTTCAAACTCAAGGCCAGAACGTTCTTGAAGCTCCTGGGTTTAATTCAGTGCAAGTTGCACTTGGGATTTCCTCCACGACAGCAAGTAGACATTCTGCTTTGAGGATCTGCAGAAAAATTTCTGCTGCAAATACTTTCAGACTTTTAGATCCCTCTTGGGGTTCTGAGATCAGGGGCCAGGTACAGTCCAACACTGCTAGGGTCTTACAAAAACCATCTGAAATATTGGACAAGACAGAGATTCAAGGAGAAAATAACTAGGGAGGATTTACAGATCCGGGGTATTTCTCAGCCAATCCAGAATCTCAGAACAACGACCACTTAATGTGTGCTTCCAGTGAAATTCTGGAAGCAGAGCATGACCTGAACATAAACTGGACTCTGCCCCCAGGTGTGGCAACTGTCACACTTGGATCTCTGTGATAATTCTTCTCCAAGGCTGGCAGAGATGGAAGGAATGTCACTTGGTCCTTCTAGTGGTTGTTAGTATTTGCCCTGTTCCATTTCATCCTATTCACCAGTCTTTCCCTTCTGAACCTAGTTCTCACTCATATGCTGCGGGCATTCAAGAAACACTGTTTCATT